TTTCAGCCTGTAAAAGAGGCCAATGTTTGCATAAAACATGTTACTCAAAAATCTATATCTACACGGAGATGTTAAACCCTCCTGGTTGATGGCGCCCGCTTGAATACAACCCAGAATCAAACCGTAAAGAATCATACATTAGGCATTTTGCAACTCCGAACCCTCTCCCCTCCTTTATCCGTTTGGTTGAACTTCTTATCATTGGTCAACTCTGTATTCTCCATGGTCATAATTGTGCCTGTCTGGAAATTCCCAGCCCAGGCCCAGCAGATTGATGTACCGACCTACATCATAATTATCATAGTAGGCATCTTCATCCGAATAATCGATCAGGCTGGGATTCAGCATTGACATGGGTTGAAAACGTGTAGCGGGGGGCAGCCTGCGGTGTATGGCATACTTGAGGCCATTTCGCGAACCGAGAGCGATGTCAGCGTCCGGTTGCTCCGCGAGCGCTTCTTTACATTCCATCCAGGCATCGAAATGAGCGAGGATGATATTCTTACTGGTGGTGTCGGACAAGATTGTCTTGGACTATTGACCCCATATGCTTAGTCTTGCATTGCAACCTTCCGGCTCTCTCTTCACAACGCTATGCAGCCTCTACACGACTGTGTTCCGGGCATCATCGTCATAAAGTGCAACAACAAATCATTCATTCCCACATCTTAAGCTGGTTGTCTTGGCTGGGGATGAAGATCTCAAGACTATCACTCTTCTTGATGGCGGCGCAATGAGGTTTGCCGTTTAGTCACTGGGCGTCGTGGCTGCAGAGCTCACACGTGGCCAACCAGTGAATGCAATTCTGCAAAGAGGCACAATGATGCAGCGGCGTAAATTAACGGCATTTATTTATTGGTGGTGTTGTGTCATCATCAAGAAAGCCAAGCTTGACCTTTGGCGGAAAAAAGGAGAAGAACAGGATATTCTTCCAGAATGCTAAACAAATTCAATGTCAGGGAGTAAATCATTTCTTAAGCACCTTCGGCGGATTCAGGGGTTGCTGCAGGGATCACTTGTTGCACAGTAACTCCGTACAGGGTGGTTAACACAACAAGCTACATCATTGATAGATATGTATTTCAACAGCACAGTACAGAGTACAGAGCTCTGTACTCCGTATAGTGGATAGTTGCGTGCTCCAGCTACATTTTGAGCAGATAACAACCTCTCTCTGATGAACGCAGAAGCCTACGGTAGCTTCGCCGCAACATGCAAACTTAGTCGTTGTCGCCACTCTGGACCACGCGGCCAAGGGGCGCAAAAGCCAATTTCTCACATGCCGGGCCCAGAGCGAAAGCAAGATCAATCCTGATCTCAACAGCAACCATGGAAACAGCACAACCTTGATTGCAACAGCTATTTCCACACAACAGAGCATCCTGTGCACGGCTAGTGGCGGTGGAAAGCCTGGCGGCCTCACCTGCTGAAGCGCCGCCATGGACAAGCTTTCGTGCAATGGGCACTCACACTTCCACTTGCAGCCACTTTCCGCCGGTGGGCAATGCCAAACCTTTGCGCTGATATCGAGCTCTCTCGATGTTGGGACCAGCTCACATTCCGAGACTATGCATATCTATCAGACTCGCTAGTCTTTCTCTGGGTTTCACATAATGCGTGCCATGCTCAGCTTTTGGTTATCCTTTCGTTGATCTCTCTTCAGACAGCGGCTCCACGCAACGAGAGGAACGTGGCTCTGAATACGGGGATCCCTAACGGGAGAAGATGTGACCTGTGGCGCTCCAAACGTTCTTACAGTTTCTATCTCTGTCATCTTCTATGGATACCACTCTACGGATCAGCTACAGCTCCATTACTCGGCTCCGCAGGCTAGTCTCTGCGCCATAAAGCGTCAACTCGGGTAGGAATGTCGAGACCCGCAAAAGCCGCGATGTCTATATCTCGATTCGCATCACGGCTTTCCAGAAAGCTTGCCTATTTGAAAAGCAGAATCCCATGGATCAACACGCTGAAGTTCAACTTCATCTTCATCCATTACGCCTACATAATTGGGGTTACAATCATCGGGTCCGTATATCTCTATCCAGGCGGAAACCTGACTTATACCGATGCGCTCTTCCTGGCAGCCGGCTCCTCCACCCAGAGCGGCCTGAATACGATCGACCTGGACCGCCTTCCAACATACCAACAAGTCGGGCTATGGCTAGGGTCAATGATTGCGAATCCGATTGTCATCCACTCGTCGGTCGTTTTTATCCGTTTGCGGTGGTTCGAAAAGCGGTTTCAGCACGTCGTGCAAGAGGCAAAGATGATGAGACGAACGCGCACACGCACAAGGTCTAGAGCTCCTAGTGCTGGCAGTGCTGGCAGTGACATGAATAGGCTAGAGATGGGTGTACGCGCCCGGAAAATAACGGTGTTGCGGGATAATGAAGGGCAGGCACTCGGACATTTCATTGAACCAAAGAGCAAGAGCCAGGAGGCGAATTCGATTGCTGATAGCTCGGGGGCGTCAAATGGAGGCGACGCCCAAATGGGACCCGAGAATGACAGTGATAGGTCCAAGACAACGGAAGTGCCTGCTGGCATCTCTACAGATAGCCACATAAGGTCTCCAATGGAGCACGGCTCTGATCACTACATTACCTTTATCGAGAACCAAAGAAGGCCAACTCAAGCCCTTAGAATTCCCAGTCCCCGCGAGTTCGATAGAGGTGGAGTGCCCGAGACTATTGACGATTTTGGCGACGAGCCATCACGGAGTAGAACTGTGCAATCAGACCAGGAACCGGAAATTTCTCCTCTGAAGCAGCAGCGATCTCGAGGCCAACATATCACCATTGATGAGCCCAACATTGCACGCTCACGCCGAGCAACGACCTTCCCCCGTACTGCTGACGTAGGAGAGCCCGCTCCCGACCATCGAAGAAAGCAGAGGAGAGGAACGCTTGCGTCCATTTTATTCTTTGGTACCAGAGACGAAGCCAGAGAAGCCCCCTACCTGAGCTGGCAGCCCACGCTTGGGAGAAATTCCGCGTTTGTGGATCTGACAGAGGAGCAGAAAAACGAACTTGGTGGCATTGAATATAGAGCCCTGAAAGCTCTCGCCTACGTTCTAATCGCGTATTTCGTGTTTTTCCATGTGCTGGGAATTGTATCTTTGGTACCCTGGATTCTGCATACCCGATGGGGAATATTTCCTATACGCGCCGCCGTTGGTCGACCTTGGTGGGCCGTTTTCATTGCAGGCTCCGCATTCAACAACCAAGGCTTTTCGCTCACGCCTAATTCGTTGGCCTCTTTTTACGATGCTATATTCCCCTTGCTTCTGATGACATTTCTCATCATTATTGGGAACACTGGATTCCCTTGCATGCTTCGTTTCATTATTTGGTTTTTCTGGAAGATTTTCCCGAAACGTACCGCGGTTTGGGAAGAGTTTCACTTCCTTTTGGATCATCCACGCCGATGCTTTACGCTTCTATTCCCCAGCTCGGCTACCTGGTTGCTGTTTTGGGTTCTCGTGGTATTGAACGTGATTGACTTGGTCCTCTTCATTATCTTAGATGTAAGTTTTCTCACGAACAAATCCGACAGCCAAGGCTGGGGACTCTTTTTAATGTTGCGTGCAGTTAAATAATCCCGCCGTGACCTCAATACCAGGTGGACTACGGTTCGTGGACGCTTTGTTCCAAGCCGCGGCCACTAGAACGGCTGGCTTATCCATAATAAGTCTTTCGGAGCTGCATCCGGGGGTGCAGGTATCGTATATGATCATGATGTATATATCAATTTATCCAATCGCGATATCCCTACGCAAAACGAACGTTTACGAGGAAAAGAGCTTGGGGATTTACTATGGAGATGAGGAGGATGAACTGATCTCGGACAAACACCCAAGCTACGTCGTCGCACATTTGCGAAGGCAGCTTGGTTTCGACATCTGGTACATATTCTTGGGCCTATTTATTATCTCCATTGTCGAAGGCTCGCGTGTTGCCAATGACCCTCAATTTACCATGTTCGGCATTTTGTTTGAAGTCGTTTCCGCCTATGGAACGGTCGGCTTATCCCAGGGATACCCTGGTACAAACACCTCGCTGTCCGCTCAGTTCAAAGTGATATCGAAACTCGTAATCATTGCCATGATGATCAGAGGCAGGCATCGTGGCTTGCCCTATCAGCTCGATCGTGCTATTCTTCTTCCCTCGGAAGCTTTGCATGAGAAGGAACTACGAGACGCTACAATGCGAATGAGGCGCCGCGGATCGACTATTAGCGCCATGGCTGGTACTGCTCGTTGTGCAAGCAGGGCTTCGAGGGATGGTTATGGTACAAGTACTGGATGGCAACAGGGCCCGTCCGGCAGTCCGTGGACTCTGGGTTCAAGATCGCCACAAGCCAATACAAATGCAAGGCTACCCATTCATCACGAAGAGCGAAGCTCCTGATTGATTGGCAGGATATACCTGTTTAGTTTTGTTTCTATGTGTCTGGTTGCTGCTTTCGTGTATACTATACCTGAGCAAGTGAATTAAAGCGAGGCGTTCAGGGTTTGTTCCATATTTCGTCTTATGTTTGCTCCGCGACATAGCCTGGAGTTGAGTAGCTCTCAATATTGCAGCGCGATTTCCTTCTTCTTCATCCCTAGCACTACGCAACTTATATTGTAACAAAGGTTTGATTCATTTAAATCTCTTTCTTGGTTCATCCGAGAACGATCCTTTTTCTTCCCATCCGTAGCCAACTAACCCCTATTAAAGGAGCAAACGGAGCAAACCTTAAGCCTGAATCACGTGCCCGAATGGCTGCCGCCGAGGGATCGTCGTCGATGACGTCACTAGGCGAGCAGAACTTGGATATCTATCAGGGGCGGAGCTCGTTCTTGGAGATTGATTTTCATAGAACGGCCTTTTTACAAGTATGTGGGATCTAAGCCCGCAATTGACTTTCTTTGCCATGGGTGAAAAAGCACTTCGCACACTAGGCTATTGTCTCTCATGGCCGGATCCGTTGAATATGTCCTGGGCACTGACATCATGGCAGGATCTGCCAGACCGTTAGTGGGCAATTATTTATGAATGTTCTCATAGGAGCGGGTTGCAATGTAGTTTTGAAAGTCTTCCAGGATTTTCCTGTTCCAAATTTTGTACATCATCGCGTTGTTGAGACCGTTTGTTTCGGCAACTAAAATATTTCTACAAAAGGGTCTATAGCAGCATCTTAAAACTGGTTGTATGTATGTACAGAACATACATACAACCTCGAACTTGACCGTGCACGATTATCCGTATTTCCCGCTGGTGTTCCACGGAAGTATCCAAGCTTAACCACACACTTTTCTGACAGAAATGGTTCGTTGCGTTCTCGGCCCCGCAGCCTACCAGTTTTGCACGCTTCACCAGGAGAACTCAAGCCACACCCGCATTGTACCAATCTGCGCATCGCCGTGTGATATTTTGTTGAAGTGATTGCTAACTTCAAAGTCGTTTAGAAGCTTCCATCGTACTCTCTCAAAGCACGACAGGAGGCACCTTCGTCAAATAATGGTAATGGCTGTGACTGCTTGAGCGGCGGTGCGATTGCCGGAATTGTCATTGGTAGCATAGCGGGCTTTTCCCTCCTCTACTGGCTACTGAAACTTGCTTTCGATTCCACGAATACTTCAGAGACAGTCACGTATAGAACCGGTCGATATGATCACCCTTCCAGACATCGAAGACGCTCATCCTCCTACGTCGAAACAGAAAGACCGGTATCGACACGGCGATATCGACGCGATGTGATAGAACGTCCTGCCAAGGTCTATGTTAGTTGAAAAAAAAAAAAAAAAGAAAAGAAAAAAGGAAAATAAATTGGGGAGAGAAGGAAGAAGATATGATGCGCTGGTTACTAATGTACATACATCTACTCCGTAGTTAGCATTGTTTTGATATGAGACGAATCCGATCATTAACGCAGCACACCCAGCGGCGGCTTCATGTTGATATCGCTGCACAAATGGGGCTTCAACCGCCAAAACCGCGCTTGAGTTCTGCCAAGAGGCAACAATACACTAGCCTATTTTCGGTTAGCCTCGAACCCTGTTGGCCCGCCTGTCTGGCCATCGCTGCCAGCAACCTCAACGTTCGTCCATTGGCGACTATCAAGACTTTCTGGTCTGCCACCGCAGATCCTCGCCCCGTGGTCCCTGGCTGACGACGTCTCCAGACGTTGAATTCCATACTACGGACTATACCAATCAGCTATCTATCTCGCGAAATCACTAGCTACGGCTTAACTCAACGGCAATCGGCGTCTTCAACCGTCTCGGACCGAGACATCGTGCCTGTAAATTCCGTCTTTGTATTTAGGATATAAATCTTGAGAAATTCCTTTCTCAACTATGAGGAACTTGTCCCGTTGCTTTCGGAGTTGATAATGATTGCTAGTACCAACTCCGGCCCGGAACAAGCATGCCTCAAATTCTTATATGAAAGCGCGCCTAAGAGGCTTCTCTCTTTTCATTTCAATCCATCCCAGAGCTATCTTTCCATAAGATGCCACCTTTTACAATGAAACTAGGTGATCTTTGAGGAGAGTAAACCTCATAGAAATCAAATGAAGCTCCACAAAACATTTCTTCTTACCTCACAGCCCTTGACCTGACTACCTGGATTGTTTATATGGGATAAAACCACCACCACTGTGCCTTCGGACAACGTTGAGGAGCATCAGAGTTATATTGCTCTTTTGCTTTTCATTCTATGTCTTTGTTAATATTTTCATGTGTCTGGGGACTGCTAGATGTATGGGCTTGGCTTGTCTGAGACTCAACGCTAGGTAACTACCGTGAACAGTTTACCTTGGCCTTGCTGAGATAGATACCTAGTATTGCTTAAACAACTCCCCTCACACTCTCAAATTTCTCATCATTCACAAGTTTTTGCCCTCCTGCCCCCTCATCCCAATCCTCCCCGCTTTCGTTTGTACTCCTATCTTCAGATCCATTTACTTATAAAATGGACGCCGAGAAGATAATTCACAAATCACGCCTGGAATGCCTCCCGACAGAGCTTAAACAACTCATACTGGCTGCCATTCCAGATGTGATGTCGCTGAGGTCCGCAGCATTGTGTTGCTGGTCAATGTACCAGGCATTTATGGGTGCTGAAAAATTGATTACTCCCCAGGTTCTTACCTCTCAGCTGAATTCTGAGTTACTACACTATGCCCTTGTCGCCCACGAAGCAGCCAAGCATACCGTCCCTTGGACGCCAGAAACCGCTGAGGCTTTCATAAGTGGTTTTTTGTCAAAATCGAATCCCATGCTTGTCCCCAAGCCATCCAGGCTCTCGGAAGCACTGCCTATAGCCGGGTTCTACAATCTCGTTCAGCACTTTGTGGATGACTTCGTCTCTGCTATGTTCAGCACGCCATTTGGTCCAGCAAACCAAGAACCAGGATCTTGGGCATTGTCGTCAAGCGAAGTCAACCGCATCGAGATCGCATTCTATCGATTTGAAATATACTGCAAGCTGTTCAAAGGAGGAACTGATCAGGACCCTTTTGCCGACCATCTTCCTGACCAAAAAGAAATCTTTCACAAGATGTTTCCCCCTTGGGAAAAACAGCAACTTGCCTGTGTTCACGATTATTTACTGGAGAGAGTGAAAAATGGTACTAGTGACTTCCACTATCAAAGTAACCCTTTGATAAGGCTAACCAGTTATAGTTTTCCGTGCAGCTCTACCGTCTATTCCTCGCTGGTGCGAGTTTTTATCCCTAGTGCAGGAAGGGATCTATCATGGTTGTATTGCATACCATTTATCTCAGGGGCTGAGCTACCTCCACACACTGCTCAGCAACCCTCTAATTATTACCACTGAAGACTACGACCGTCCACTCCGCTCGACCCAGCTATGGTTCCTCGAACATAGCCTAATTGACATCGCGGCGCGGCAGTATTTCACCACAGAATCCTCTAACATAGCGGAGGTGAAGAGGGCATTTCCACACACGTCAGACCTGGACACTGGCCCGATTGACGTCTGGGACTGGGCAAGGCGATCAAGGGCCTACCGGCCCCTCGTGAGTAATGAGCGCCCTATTCCACTTCGCAAATGGGGATATGTAATGTGGGATCGGGCAAGACTTGATGGGTGGGGTGTACTCCGAACTACGTGGGGAGAGCGCGAGGCTTATTCTGTGATTCAAGTGATGGAGATCCAGCGAGCACAGGACAAAGACTTGATTGATGGTATAGCGCAAGAACTTCATCGAGAACGGACGCGGTTGTACCGTGAGCAGTGCAGGAGGCTAAGACGGCCGTAGGAACCGAGCAAAATGGACAGTTTTCCTCTTACTCTGGGATATTATATGACGAAACTCTACAAACACTTAGCACAGTGGCAATGCTTTTTCGTTCACATGCTGCACATTCGGTCCACATGGCGATGGCATATAGTACGCAGAATTGAAGAACTATCTTGCAGGGGGATTCCCGGGTTGAAGTTCATATGACGTAAGAAGTAGAACCCTCGCGATCCCCGCACAAGGTGTTTCGATTTCTTCAAATCACCAAGAGCAGTAAATTGGCCAAGGATGACGCAAAAAGCCCTTGTAACAGGCGCCAGCGGCCTTCTCGGGCGCCAGGTACTCAATGCTTTCAAGAAGGACGTCAATTGGGAAGCGGTTGGCCAAGGCTTCACAAGAGCTGCCCCTCCAGACATTGTCAAGGCGGACCTCACCAACCCCTCCGAAATTGAGAGTTTACTAGACGAGGTGAAGTAAGTGGACTCTGGTGAAACGTGCCCGAAAATGCTTTTTGCCGGATTGGATGTTTTTCTTGCGTGGGCAAATCAGAAGGTTTCTGGACGTTCGAGAAGGCTGATTTATGATCTCGGCGTGGGTCGATATCAGACCGCAAGTTGTCGTACACTGTGAGTCGTCGTTGTTCATCCCAATGGTTTTATTCGTGTCCGAAGCCGGGCGCAATTCATCCATGATTTCGAGTATTGAGACACGATGTAACCAGGCGCCGCCAACCGATTTCCAGATCAGTGCGATGCCCACCCTGATCTCGCCCGTAAGGTGAATGTCGAAGCCACCAAAGCCCTCGCGAAAGCAACCTTACAAAGATCCATTCTTCTCATCTACATTTCTACGGACTACGTTTTCCCTGGTCGTCCTGGGGAAGCACCGTATGAGACCTCATCGCAGACCGAGCCCCCGAATATCTACGGCCAAACCAAGCTTGACGGGGAGATCGCGGTTATTGAAACCACTCAGGGTTCGGGAAAGGGAGTGGTCCTACGAGTACCTGTTCTCTACGGTTCTGCTGATACCAACAGTGAAAGCGCGGTAAACGTTTTAATCGACGCGGTATGGAAGGCACAAGACGCCGATGCCAAAGTAAAGATGGATGATTGGGGACAGAGATACCCTACCAACACAGAGGATGTAGGAAGAGTATGCCACGATATTGCGGTTAAATATCTCGGCGAGCAGGAGAGGGCTGCCTCATTTCCAACGATCCTTCAATTCTCGTCGGAGGACAAGGTGACTAAATACGAAATGTGCGAGAGATTCGCTGAAATCCTTGGATTGCCGTTGTCGGGAATGGAGAGGATAAAGCAAGGTGGTACGCCTGGCAATGGTGTGCAACGCCCATTCGACACACATCTATCCACTAAAGCGCTGAAGGAGCTGGGTATACCAGTTGATACCCAGGACTTTGTGAGTTGGTGGTATGTAGCAATTATTGTGGAGTTTGTCCAACAACGATGTTGTTTCGACCTCTGGATTCTGACGCCTCTTGCAGGAGACGAGAACTCCGTGCCTATCGGCATTAAAACCCATTACATCCGGCTCCGTCGGCTCCGGTTCTTTATAGAAGGGCAGGATCGCAAGATAAAGTGCATCTCGCGAAAGCACCCGTTAATACGCGCTGGAGGACAAGTGTGCTTTGGAAATTGAAATTGGGATCAGCTTTTAACTTCTTTGTGAACTTAGAATTTAGCCACCCGAGAGTCAATGGTTGCTCCTCTGTTTAACGCCAATGAAACCGGAGACATCCAAGAAAATGAGCAAAGGAGCAAATTGGACGGGAGATGCAGATTGGTTCTTGCGGTTACCGGCCGCGTTATAGATTATGACGGCTCACATTAAAGTGACTGTACTCCGTATACCCTGTACTAGCTGCATGTATCCTCAACACAAGAATTTGGCCTAGTTTCGAAGAATGGCTGCGATAACTAATGGTAGCAAGTTCGATTGAGCCCTGGTGAGTGTTCTGCAAGAAAAAGTGGTCGTCCAGCCTGGCGAGCTGAGACGGGGCGCGGCGATCCCGTGATCACCATTATGCCAAGCCTCAATCCGACGGGCCTTTCCAGGTTGGGACTAGTGGAAAAACGCAACCTTCACGCATCAACTCATCTTCCGCCTCTCCAACTCAACTCTAGCCCTTTCATATGCTTGTTATTATTATTCATTATAATATTATGCAGTCCAGGACTATGAAGACTACCTAATAGCCTTACTGTTAGGAGTTACCTAGTATACAGAAACCACAAAGACAGAGAATAGAGACGTTCATGTACCGGTATAGAAAGATATATAGATCAATGTCAAGGCAATGGAATCACTGTTTCCTCCACAGAAATACATGTACCAGTATTATTTCTATTGCTTTCATTATTTTAGCTGCCCCTTCTTGGCGTGATGGGCTTGCTGTGCGCATTACTTTGCCTTGACATCACACTGGTTATCGGCATTGGTTAAGAGGAGCGCGTGCCAGGCTTGATCTGTGGCCAGTTTCGGGGCGTGATCGAGGAAGATGAGAGAGATGGGCTCTTATATGAGTAAGTAAAGCGATGAAATTGATCAAGGAGCTACGTCAGCCACCAAGGTGCAAAAATGGCCCCAGCGTGAATAATGTCTGGCAGAAGAGCCTGCCGCGATTTTCACCGGAATCCACCAGGAAAGGACCCAGTTGACCACGATATGGGTACCGTGTCAAGGAGTGAGCATGCTATCCATTGAAGGATATCCTTAACTACGCATTGGGTTCTGAGCGGGAACCAGGTGTGTAAGAACACTTGGCCACCAGCTGCAGGGGAGGCAAATGCGAATTCGCTGTGGAGCGCTCCGTGCGGAGTATTTACCTACGGACACGTTATATTTTGCTCTCCAGCTGGAGATTTCTCCAAGACAGGCAATTCGATAACTCAATTCGTCGATTGACGACGCCACTGCGCTAGCAAGGTGATCAGGTCCTTCGGCCGCTACGAATGCGGCTCTTGTATGCCCGTAGGTCGGTGAATTCCCCTTGCCTTGTACTTCTCGCTGACATCGTCATCTTCTTTGCCCCGACCAATAACCAAAACTCTACCCGCGAAGTCCGGACATGGCACTAGGAATCGGACAAATGTGCGGCAACGGTGGCCACCGCAGCACCGGGACATGATCATCGCAGCAAGTGCCCAGACCTGATATGCAGGACGTGCATACATACTCTGTACATGAATGTATGTCCCCACATGCAAGCTGTCCACAACACACATGTACAGACCATGTTTGCCACCCCACTCTTTGACATGCTTTCTGCAGGTAGAAAATTATCAGGCTCAGCAGCACCCCCTTTTGTTTGGGTGAAGGGGAGTTGCTTTATTCTTTCATGGATGTACGGAGTACAGGGTACGGGGTAACTACAATTCTCTTTGAAACAGAAATACATAATAGTCCAAAGGGAAATACTTCAAGCATCTGTACTCTGTACTGTCCAGCAACAACTGAAACTCAAAGAAATTAGCCAATAACACCAAAGAGTCAACAAAGCTCAAGCACTCCGGAAGATGGTGCATCTTGGAAGGGTGTTACAAATACCCATCATCCAATGTCACACACCATAAATGATGATCATCGTCGAGTAGATGTGTGGAGGAGAGATTGAAAACCTGGCATATCAAGATCATTTGCTGCTCTTTCACAGCTTTTGCATTGATCGGGTGGATGGGTCCAAGATGGGCCTCATTTTAAAATCCAGCCAGTCTCGATGTAACTAAGTAGAAAAAAAATCCCTGACCTCCCCAGCCCTTAGTGGGGAGTAATTAACTGCACCCTCTCCGGTCATTAAAGTTGCTTCATCCCCTTCCCATTTCCCTTCCCCTAAACAAGACACAGAAGGTCAATCAAATGCTGGTGTCTGCTTTCACTCTGGCTCAATCCTCTGTCCCCCTGCTTCAAGAGTGTCAGGCCTTGCGATACTTAGGGTAGAGTTTGTGACATCACATCCAAGTGACGACGCGCCATTTCAATAAGTTTGCGCAGTGAGATCACGGGCATGCCTTGTTTTGTCTCTCGTTCAAAGGGCTAGGTTGATAAGCCTGCATTAATTAAATAAATAGTGAGTTAGCTAGCTAGCGCATGTTCTCTCTTCCTTTTTTTTTTTTTTTTTTTTTCCCCCAACCCTCTTTATTTGCCTCCCCAAGAGCGAATTCACTTGCGCCGAGGGGGGTTCAAAAGAGCTGAGCACATATGAGTGCTGGAATTGACCTCTTCGGAGTCCATTCCATGGCCTGGTCTGACAGCTTACCACTATTTCAATTTCAAATTGAGTTTGACCGTTTCCTGTTGACATCTACCTGCCAAGTTACCAGACAGCTCGCCGGTTCTCGTTTACCGGTTCTTGCCACATCTCATTGGCAGACTCCCCGAGAGAAATCCAGAGCGATCGGGCAAACCCTCTACGATCCACCGGCCAGCAGAAAACTTTGGAAACTGGTTTGCATGCGATCACTGTTACGTGCGACGATAGCGACGTTGGAATACCTGACTACATATGCGAAAGCCTTTGGCGCATGCAGATGTCGCTGTTATGGATCAGAACTGCAGTGCTTCATCACTGGTCCAAGCGCAGCAGCCAGCGAAATTTTCCCGGTATCGATCGGTGAGAAGAGCTGCAGCTCCGGGCGTGCAGCGTTCTGGTTCGAGTGCGCCTCCTCCTCTGCCTGCCAATCCGTCAAGCAATTGTTCAATTGCGAACTCTCAAAATGAATCGATCAAGCGGAGCATGTCTCGCTATCGACATGCGAAGCCTACCAGGATCGTTACTTCAATCCCTCCGCCGCCTCCACCGGGCCCGCTATCGCAAAATCGACAATTTGCGGACATAGAGAACTGGATCGATAATACTAGGATGAGCCAGGAGGCCTCGCAGTCTCAAGCGCATTCTCCAGACCAAGGACATGGATTCACGGCTACATCTTTCTACGATGCGCCGAGGCAGACTCTCTCACAGCCATCGAGCCCAAAGATTGGAAATTTCTCGCGAATTTTAGGGAGGAGATCCCTGGATCGACATCGCGAGAATGAGGAATCGTCTCCTCCAATGTCTGCAGGAGCGACCCGTCCGTCATATTCAAGAGACATTTACTCCAGCGGGGGTGAAGATGAGGCGGATTCCAAGCGGACTCGTGGAAGGCCTGAAAATATTCATGTCCCGACATCTCCTTTGCAACATGAACAAAGACAGGACAGCGAAATACCACCAGTAGACCTTCAGAGAAGTACTCGCGAAGAGCTCCTTGCAAATGAAAGAGCAGCAGCGGTGCATAACAGACCGAGTTCAGGCAAGAAGCTTGTGAAGGAAAAAGGCGGCCTTTTGTCCCGCATCAAAGGCATTGACACGAATGGATCTTCAAAGGCCCAACGGGAGGCTAGGGAGGATTTGAAGAACTTAATATCATCGCCCAAATTGATTGATCCGAAGGATCTCCAGAGCGGATTCCCCGATGACACGCCGGTTTCTGCGGTCAATGCGGGAGAACGCAAGGTGTTGATCGTCTGCAATGACTCCTTCATAAATCTCCCAATTACCCCGACTACCAAAGTTCAGGACCTTTTGTACTCCGCCGCAAATTGCTTGAGCGAACAGATCGACCCAAAAGCTGCGATTCTGATGGAGACTTTCAAGCAGCTCGGTATAGAACGACCATTGAGAAGATACGAGTATGTCCGGGAAGTTCTGAACTCCTGGGATGATGACACGCAGAATCACCTAGAAGTCGTTACGGCTCCAAGCGAAGACGTGAGCGAAGGCCTCGACGTTCGAACTGCACCTCGAAAGCAACCAAAAGATGCGACATTCCACATTTACCACTCCCAACGCCAGGGAAAATGGGACAAGCGGTATATCACCATCCGGTCTGATGGACAAATTCTCATGGCGAAGAAACCGGGCGGAGAGTCAATGAATATATGCCACATGTCCGATTTCGATATTTACTGCCCTCAAAAGCGGGATTATCGGCGGATAAAGCCGCCCAAGAAGCTGTGCTTCGTAGTCAAAAGTCAGCAAAAGGCAAGCATGTTCCTTACGAGCGACAATTTCGCTCACTACTTTTCCATGAGTGGCTCGGACACCGGTTGTCAGTGGTATAATGCTGTGCAACAATGGCGCAGTTGGTATCTTGTGAGTGTCATGGGCGAAGGTAGCTCGAACGGCAAACCTGAAACCCATTCGAATGCAAACAGAGCATCCCAACCTAATGCGAACCGGTACTCTATGGAATCTACTCCATATCAGCTTGGTTCGTTCAAGCCGTTAGTAGACCTGGATGCGCTCGCGAATGAAATTGCTGCCAGACCAGTCACTCCTTCAGATGAAAGCCCGCCAACATCAAAGAAACGGTCAAGCTGGATGGCTACTTCCATGAACAATCATTCCAGTACGCCCTTAGCTTCAACTCCACCTTCACCAAAGAACACAAGCCGTGCTAGTGCCCAGAAGCGTGGACGTAGCCAAACAACAGCAACTCAGCGAGACCAGTCTACAGTTGGTGAACCTTTTGCGTCAACAGGCCTTTTGGGCCGCACTTACACCCAGCGTCAGAATGCAATGCGGGAACGTGAGAAGGAGCAGGCTGAACAGAATGGTCCCTTCACCGCACATGGTTTGCTAAATAACCTAGAAACATCCATACGCCCTTCGGACCGTCCCGGACAAACCTCGGGCAAGCCTCCAAGCGGGGAAAACACCATCAGTTCTCCCCCCGGCCGCCACCGTGCAAAGTCCATTCAACAGCCTCAAAGGCCTCTTGTCGATCTAACACCAACGTATCAAGAGCCACCTCATCACGCCCGCAAGGGTCGAGGCGTGGCTGCCCAACCTGGAACGCTCCTCGTCGATAATGCAACTGGACCGGAGCTCTGCCCGGGTGCAATCGTCGTTCCCAGCGCCACCACCTGGCGCAAACCACAGCGGAGTGGAACAATGACCTCGCAGGTGCCTGCACCAGAACAGTTCGCGCCCTCTTCACGTGGGCGGCAACGCTCAAACACGACACGTGCTACCGCACACCATCTAGGTGCAGCCGCGTTGGGGACTTCGCCGCCACCTCCGGAATCGCCATTTATATCGACGGGTTTGCTCGCGCGGAACAAGTTGAGCCATGGTCAAGGTTCTGCCCAAACAGGGCGTGGTGTCGCAACGGGAAGCAGGCAGACCAACGGTCGACCCCTCCTTGATGTTTCTGAGCCAAATCGATTTACAGAGGGGAGTTTACTGCGAAATGTTGAGCATCTCGGCGCTGGAGTGGATGGATACGGACGCGCACCGGTGACTGATAGAGAGAAGCGAGAGGAGCGGACTGTGCATACTGGGGAAGGATACTGAATACATGGCCTTTCTGGGTTTCCTTTTCCTTTTCTTTCTTTTTTTTTTTTCTTTTATGGGACCAGGTTTTATGATGATGAGGGACACAACGTGCGGTGGGAATGGAGAGGATCAATGATACCCCCTAGATGATAACGGCCGATGATGGCCTGGGACTTTGGGACGTTTTTACGAACACATATGGTCAAATTTACCCTTTCGGGATAACTTACATATCAAACGCTGAATGAATTGATGGGTTTTTTGCCTTTTGACACACACAGTACTCCATACGGCTACAAGTTTTCAAAAGATACAGTAAGGTTCGAAACCGCCTTCCAGGTCTCGCAAGCCAGAATTTGTTTCCAAACCCTAATGCCAAGCCTCTAACGTCTTAAACTAAACCGCATTTGGATTCATCTGCGAATCTTGTGTAATATACTTTGTAATGATTAAGTATCAATATTACACGACATCTCGAAACTTGTACTGGAAATGGTGCTGGAAGCTTCTTTGCAAACCTGCCAAGTGGGCAGAATGTGTTTGGTCTGTCAACCACCCATTTCCATGGTTTTTGTTCCATCCCCTGAATCCCAAACTCTCCTACTCTCCCGGCCTCTACTTTCCCCAGACGAAGTTTTGGAAGGCAAAGCTTTATTGGTATGAATACTCCTAAGTTTGAACTACAAGATGCCTTTGGTGTGAACATGAGACTGTTACAGGCTAACTCCACAGGCGTATTGCGAGGTCTCCCAAAAGAGATTTAGGTTTTTGAAAAATGTCCAATAGCCAATTTAGCTATGACGATGCCTCTCAGTCCCAAGTGATGGGTACATGGGAGGAAGGTTTACAATTTGCCCCAACACCAGGCTACTTTATGCTTGATTCCCTCAGTCCTACTCCAGATCATGCCCTCCAAATGTGTGATCACCTTGAATTTCTCCCATTGGCCGAATGGATGGAGGGCAAAGACTATGAAGAGCAGCCACCAAATTATATTTGCTACACAATTGCATGGAGGATCATAATCAATTATAGAGTTGAGGCTAGGGAGACTGAGCAAGACTTGGTTGTAGCTTCCAGTGAGTACTGGAAAAAGCATCTAAAATCAAAAATTGAGGGATTGGTGCACAAGAAAAAACATGATTGGTGGGTGTGATCAGAGAACACAGCAATTGTGGTATTAGTACGGAGTAAAGGATTGTTCTCAGAGCAATCTTGAGAAACTCTATAAATCTACTAACATTGACTGGATACCAGTGGAGAGGCAGCTCTGCAAGTGGAGCAATCTGATCCACATGGGTAAAAAGCCCACAGTTTCTATTTCTTTTAAATATATGCATGACAACAATTGCCCTACACACGTGTCCAAAAAAGTAGGCAAACAAAATACTTCTTCAGCAATCAGAAGAATGCTTGCCAAACAAGATGCACAGATTGATGCTGAAGAGGAGAGCTCTGGACAACCTTCAATCTGGAGGCATGTGTACAATCTCATGTGATGTTCTGTACCCTTATGCCACTATGGACAGTGGTGCTGGCAGGATCCTAAGCAGAGGAAGCACTACAAACTTAGAACAACTCATCTGACAAGCCTTATTAAACATGTGGATAATGGCGGGAAACTAGAAAATCACCAAGATGTCCCTGACAATATCCGAGAAGTGTTATACATGGAGGCTCAAAGAAGATTTGAAAAGGGATCAGGAAAAGCTCATAATATCACAGCAGGGGCTCCATATCCTCCAATTAACATCAATGTTCTACCAGGGCATAGCACTCATGGCTCCGTCGCGGCCATTTCATCACCTGAGTTTGAACATTCCAATGAACAACTCAAATTATCCAGGCCCCAAGATGAAGCTGTGAAGGAATACTGCAAATGGCAGGAACAACAAGTGACTGATGAGACACATAAAGCTGATTGGAGAAAGGCATGTGATATAACTCTCTCACATGGTCTTGACCTTGAACTGGTGTATGAAGATCAGGAACATGTTAAGTTCCTTCTTGAACAAGAAGTAATGAAGGGAACTGCACGACATTTCATTCAAGATATCCATGAATGGGCCACCATTGCGAAGAGAATATTGTCCCACCAGGGACGTGTTGAGGAGAATTTTGATGAAATGGCCGATTAAGTTGTGGTGCAGTATCCTTCAAGACCAACTTTATGAAGTGGTAGGCTAATTGGAAATTAGTTTTGCTTTGAACCTTGCTGGTCATATGAATGAAGGTGTAACTTAGGTGTTAATAATGGCTGAGCAGAGAATTATACCTGGCCTGTGTATCCAAAGAAATATATGCACTTTGAAAGAATAAGGGCCAAGATCTCCTTGCCTTTGCTACATTAAAGGTCGAGGATTGCAGCATTCAATAAGCGAGTAAGCTGGCCTGCAGGGAGGATTCGAGTGTTTACTGAAGGTGGTCTCAGCTATTTTTTTACCGTACCCTCAACGAGTTGTTTTATAGTAAGCCACCAACATATCAATTTTCACACTCTGTCTTCAGTAAACACATCTTTTATCTGACAGCAAATCAGAGCTCAAACTGGAACAGTACTGCATAAAATCAGCCCATATAATGGCTCAGAGCCAGTGCCACATCACATCTCCCATCCACCGGGCCCATCATGTGCAGCCATCATTCCGAGGCACCAGAGTGCAAAAATTACCGTCAACTGAGGCTGTGTTGGTGTGCCACCAGCCGTGAAGGGGATTGCTGGAGCAAGCTCGAGGTTGCCATTGTCGTCCAGGCGTCGGAACACGACTAATTCAACATCCGTAAGAAGGAAACCATATCGAGCCTTGTGCTGCTTCATGTACCAGTTGACCTGGCTGAGTGCTTGGCGATACTCCTTGCGAACTCCTGGGATTAAATTGGTGGCCATCGGCGTATTCCATTTCCAGGATGGCTTAATATCCCCTGGAGCGCGGTTGGGACCAGTGCCCGCTGGCAGTGCCACTTCAAAATAAGCGGTGTCCGGCTTGAAGCCGTCAATGATTTCCGCGCTCTCTCCAACATCCAACGAGACAGGAGTTAGACCGTTCAGCTAGTTGGCCAGGCCCAAATGGTCAAAAGCAGCTCGAAGGGCTCGTCGCACTCTGGGAAAGACGTATTCAGAAACTTTACTTCTGAGGGCATTCTCTGCCGTGATGGGACGTGGTGGGGATGCTGGCATAGGGTCTGGCATAAGGTGCACTTGAGCTAAGAGATTCTGGAATGCTGGAAGAAGGATATTCAAGTTGAAACCATTCCAGACTGCTGTGGTTTGGATATCGTTTGCGTTGTATGCACCATTGGTGGTGTTGGGCCCTGGAACCGGGGGCGCATTTGTTGGAATTGCGGGCAAGGCATTTTGCAAATAGGTCAAAAGCGATATCTGATTCGCCATTTTGAAATATATATTTATATATATATGTGAGGAAGAAGTGTTTTAGTCTTTGCTGGGTAACAGATCAACTTGGGCATCCCACGCGAATTTTATATCCGAAAATCTGAAAGACTACACAAACCCCTCTTCTTCCAGGTTTGCTGGCACAAAATAGAAGGCTGCCACCACTTGTTGTTTCTCTCCTTCCGCTTCTAGCAAGCAAGCGCCAGCTCCAGAGAGGCGCATGCAGCTGGGCTAATCCGGTCATAACTTTACCTCTGCATTGCTGCCTGACTACTGGGATTTGCGGCTCGTCCCACAAGGGATCCTGCGCTTGCCGGCTTGGCTGCGCCATTTTCCGGGCGTAGCTTACTTAAACAAAGCAAATATGTCAAACAAGAATTTCCAAAACAAACAACCAATCGCTTGTCCTTCGTCCTGCTCTGGCAGCCGTGCATGGTCACACTTCCACTGAAAAGAAAGAGGAAAGGGAAGAGACAAAAAATGGAGCTGGACAATGTCAGACCAGCTGAAGTTGTCTTCAAGAAAAAGCTTTTTGCCTCTGAGTTCTCTGAGGTATTCCTCACTGTTGTTCGCGGACAGCAATGTGTCATGAAAGTGGTGAGGGCCCTGTCTGAGCCATAGGCCAGGCCATTGATTGATTACTGTATGCTCTAGCTGGTATACAACTAATTACAAAGTGATAGCATCACGGACGAGGTCCACGACGATACTATGAGCCAGATCGCGAACTCAACATCCACATCCTTGAGTCGACTGCCTACCGTCGTTTGAAAGAGCGAGGAATATGTGAGCAACGGATCGTCCCTCAATTCTTTGGCACCATGGTCAAGTTTGATCCAAAGCCATGCCAGCCTTACCTACGCACGTTTGTCAACGATGAATACCCACCCAGTGCCATCTTCCTGGAATACATCCCAAACCTTGAGATGCTCGGCCTTAACAACTACACACAAGCTCGGATGAACAAATTTCTTGAGGGCATCCGTGAGATACACAAAGCGCTTGTAGAGCATGGAGACCCAAAACCCAGGAACATGCTCATCGTCAAGGACGACCCTGAGCGGGTTGTTTGGATTGATTTTAATCGAGCAAATACCTATGACGAGCACCGCATCACAGACAGAGAGCGAGCTTTTTTGGACGAGGAAGAAGAAACAGTTGAAGGCCTTAAAATGTGTTTGGTATGTCCTCCTAAAATATGAATCCCTTACTGTTCGCTCACAATCTCACTGTCCGCGTCTTAGGAAGCCGACCTTCCAAAAGGGAGACTCAAACAAGCGTACATATTCTACTGTACATGATGTATCCCATCTTTCCTCCTCACCCATGTGTCATCCTATCTATCCAGCGCGAAACAGGCAACCAGAGCCAGAGCAATGCCTCCGACAACTTGGACGACGATTATGTTGCGAGCAGAAGTGAGACCATCAAAGCGGCGCAAGCTTTGCTCGCAGTTGGCTGTTACTACGCAATCTTCAGCTCCCAGGGGTTGTGCTGGTGTCTGCTGTGATGCAGAAGCTCCCTGAGTTTTGCGGAGATTCTTCGCAGGTGGTACTGTTGTAGGCTGGAAAAACTTTCGGTTGTAGCTCATTCTAAGCCACGGGATGATGAGAGTTGGTCTTGCTTGCCTTGTTTGTTTTGATAGACAGTCCGAGCCAGACCTGTCCCAAATCCAATTTGGCGTCGGTACCCGCTAGTTATCCCATATGGCACGTGCCCCTGACCTACCTAGATATAACCAATCCGCTCTATCGTGAACAAGGCTGGCTGTGTTAGAAACACCAATCTCTGCCTGCCACGACGGACGCAGGAAAGTTCATGGAGAGAGAAGGGGGGCAGCATCGAGAATTTGACTCCAATATAAAACTATGGTCTAATCACCAGTTCGGTGCGACTTTCCTATAGGAAAATTAACGTGCACTTTCGCTGTGCTGTTTCCCTATTCTTGGTTTATTGCAGGGCCCCATGAGTAGGTCTTACCAAGAGAACCTCTTAAAGTACCGTCACCTATTACCCTTCGAATAGCCTACACTGATTATCAGCTCTTGACGGCCGCCCGGTAATTTTGGTATCCTTCACCATGCTGATATGATTGTGCTAACTATAAATTATTACTAGGAAAAATGTTCACACCAGATGCGAGCCTCACCGAAATGGAAGCCGCTATCAGATTTCAGCGCCTTGTGCAAATCGGAAGTGCAGCAGATTATGCCGCAGAATTTGAGTGGCTCAGAAGCAAGATTTCACGGGAGACATACCATGCGTCTCTTTTCTTCGTGGGGCTTAAAGACGAAATTCAGAATAGGATTTCTCAGTGTGGGGAGATGCCTAGTACTCTGGAGGGTATGATCAGGAGAGCAAAGCAGACTGAAGATCAACTTCATGAGGAACGGAGACTGGGTGGGCTATGTTTTAATTGTGGAAAGCTAGGTCATATCGCCAGAAATTGCAGGAAAAAGTGGTAGGATGTACGATGGACGAAAACTTCGAATGAATTATTCTTGCCTGCAGCACGTTAAAAGTAAATGTGAAGGCTCTTCCAACTCATACATGTATCTCCTCATTATGTTCTTCAATCGTTAGACCAGCATGTCGAAAGTGACCTTCGGCACTCTCTTTTCTCTCACCAACCACATTGACGCATCTTTGAAGGAAGGTATCAAAACCTTGATCAGGAAACATCTCATATGAATGCCAGTTTTGCTTAATGTAACTTTTCAGCTCTGCAAAGAACTTCTTGATGGGATTCAAGTCTGGTGAATATGGTGGTAGGTACAACACTTTCACTCCTGCTTCAGAGCACATCTTCATAATCTTGTCAGAGTAATGAAAAGATGTGTTATTCATAACAAGCACAGACTTTGGGTCTGGCTATCTTCCACAATGCTGGAGAAGCTGCTTAATGAAGTCTTCAAAAACAGCAGCATTGGTTGAGCCTGTAAAGATATAAGAAAGAATGATACCATCTTGAGTATAGGCAGGCAAGATCTGATAATGTTGATCCTGATGGAGTCTTGTTACTTGAACTAGTGTCACTCCAACTGAAGACTAACCTGTCCTTCTAAATCCTATCTGTTTGTCACACCCAGACTCATCAACATAAATCAGATGATATGAATGGAAATCAGATAGTTTGTGAAGATAGAAATCTTGTAAATCTGGATTCTGCTCTTTTGCTCTTTATTGGCATTTCTTTTTTGTCCAGTCTTCAGAGGAAAGAGTTCTTTTAATACTGGAAAGTAATATTGAAATGTTGAATTTATCATACAAAAAAACCACCATCTCTTCAAGATATAGGTCAGGCTTTTTGGTGAGATGATCACAAAGAGCTTCAAGCATAGATAGAGTCATGCTTTGTGGATGATCTTCACAATTCAGCAGTGGCCTTTCACTGCCAAACAACCATAAGTTTGTGCAAATATTTGTGACTGAACACTCACTGCATTCAGCAGCATCAGCAATCTGAGCAGTAGTAAATTTTTTGCTGTGTATTATACAACTGATTAATTTCTGCTTCCAATCTTCAAGATTTCGCGCCATTTAGTGCAGATAGTGGTTACCCGTGCCAAGCGCATTTCTGTGTAAATTATGGATGTTGCCTTTGGTTCAATGATGGAGGTGGGGGAATGAGGTAGCATGTATTTTTGATACAATACCGAACCATGGCATTTTGTCTATGTTTGGTTCAGGCTTGTTACGTTCAAGTTTCCAAATACATCTAGAATAGACGCTAACTATATAGGGCTAGTTCATTAATTAGCACCTTGGCGTTAGGGTTTGGAAACTGAGTCTGGCTTGTGGGAAATGGAAGGCGGTTTCGAACCTTACTGTACATACTCTGCAGCACCTCAGTAGATGTGACAAATTATAGGTGGTATGCCAAATTCTCCCCTTACGACAGCCTCTCTCCCGCCCGTCCAAACACACAAAGCCCCAAGACCAATTCCGTATTCCCTTCTCTGCAAGGCCTCGCAAGGAGACCAAACCAGTGAAAAGAAGATAATAAGCCAACAGTTTCAACCACAAGAAGCGACTCAGGTTCGTTGCGAAGTCCCCCAAGTCAAGCCACTTAAGGTCTTGAAGCCCCTATATCCGGAGACATAAACCACTATGGTCAGTTCATCCAGGAGGGATTTAAAGATAAATTTTTTCAAAAATTACCAGCCGATCCGAAGACCAACTGGAGCGGTCTAAGTTTGTAGTTTTCAACTAGCAAAAACGTTGCCTCAGGCGAACCTTCACTGGAAACGTAAGACCCGTGCACTCGGATGGAGAAGAAAAGAAGAAAAAAGAGGAGGAAAACTTCGCGGGGGCGGTGGAGGGGAGGCGGCCTATTTATACCTCCGACAGGATGGCGCTAGTGTTAAGCGAGACCTATTTTGGCGGAGCCTGATTGGCTGGATCTCGAACAAGGGAAGTGGAGTGGACCACGGTCGTCGCTGCTGCTTTTGGGCCGACAAATACTGTTTGCATTGTTTGGTTTAAGATTATGTAATCAGGAATTTTCCCTGGTTAACTTAGCCGGATCGAGAAAGTCACAAAACAAATCCAAGCACCGGCGCTTTCCATTTATTCCATAGTATAAAACAGCTCAGTTTCACAAAGAGAAGGAACAAAATTCCAATTAGCTATGCAGATGCGCAAGAATAAAGGCACATTAGTCATTACGTCGTCATTCCAGCCGTCGACACAGAAAAGGAATAAGAAAAGGAAAAAGGAAGCTAAAAAAAATCAAAAAGATAGCCGCGTGAACACTCGAGCATCTACCGCCATAGATCCCTCGGCGCGCCCTTTTGCGACCATCCACTGCTACTCTTCGGCCGCTGGTCTGACGGTACAGCGAGAAACCCGTTGACCCCGTTATTCATAAGCACACTCTCACGGGCGTTCTCCCCCCAGCTCGGCCCTAGCTGCGCCCCGTGGAGGCTGAGCGGTCGTGCAACACTTGTACGCCGTTCAGAACCAGCGAAAGGTTCATAGGTCGTGAAGTTCCACTCCAGCTCGTCCATACCCTTGCTGTACACAGCGAGCAACTGGTTGAAACCTCTCCCGACTGACTGGGGACCGCCTTCGCCGCCGCCTAGCAGTCGCGGTGGAGGGGCGAGCATTAATGTCTCTGAGAAGTGGGCGTCACGCACGTAAAGGACGTTTAAGGCCGGAAGGTCGCCCGCGAGGAGAGACGACATCAGGTATGTGTAGTACGACGCGGAGACTGGCTGAGCACCATAGGCGCCCGGCTCGGAGGTGATTTCGTAGTGGAGGAGTGTTAAGGATGTGGAACACAGGAGTGGGACGCTTCCGGTCGGAAACGCACGGGTGACTTCGTAGATTATAGACAGTGTTTCGAGGGAGGTGGCTCGCGTTAGGATTTCATGTAGCTCTTGTGGCACAACGCCGGTGGTAAGGAGTGAAAGGTGCTTCAGAGCACGGATATTCTGAGGTGTAGAAAGGTAGGCCGCTAGCCCCCTGGCGGTGACGTTCGGGGTATCTTGCAGGGTAAGTCGCTGCAACGATGGAAACGGTGGCGACGAAGGCATGAGCTCGAAAATGGAGCTCTCCAGCCATTGCATTTCCTCTAGCTTCAGGTCTTGTAGTTGCGGGAAGCAGCCGAGCACTTGGCGCAGCAACGACGGCTCGACAGCGATCTTGGAGAGTTCCAGGACTTCGATATTTGCCCAAGGTTGCTTGTGCGGGATCGTAGAAAGGCTCCGTTCGGATCCATGAGCGTATTTCATGCGGCGAAGATCGGGGCACCTGGCCATCAATTCCACCTTGAGGAAATGCGACGCTGCATCGTCCGTGAAAACTCCAGCCGGCAGGTCGACATATCGTAAATTTGGAAGAACAGAAATTGTCCGTGCTATCTCGCTCTTGCTCGCTTCCCGTGTCATGTAGGGCATGCGCAAGGAGAGAACCAGCTCTCCTAGGTCCGTTGACTCTCTGACGGTCCGCATAAATAGCAGTAGACGTGTTCTCGGGGCATCGATAGGATCTGCATTGTGGTTTAACCATGAGGACTTCTTTCGCTTCGCGGCCAATTCGATCTCGAGTTCGCAGTAGTGGACGGCGTCGATGCGGACATGCTGATATCTACAGTCCACGACGGTGTGACGTCAGTTAGCTTTCGACTGATGCGGCTATCTTGCACGAAGCAAAATAACTCCAACCCCTATGGGCGGGAAAATAAGGACGTACAGTAATTCCTGGGCAACACGGCACCATGCGCGGCAAGCAAGCGCACAGTGAGCCAGGTCGCGCATATCACAAAGCATACAGTCATTTACCGTGACTGACTCCTCTGACGAGGTAAGAGAATCATCGAGCGAATGCGGGCATACACTGGCAAAGATGCTGTGGAGCAACGTTGGGGGGAGCCTTTTTGTGTAGTCCCTAGCAGGTCTGCCGCAGTACTGATCATATGCATCTTGATCAAGGTACCCTGACTTTTTGCTTCTACCGGAATTTTTGACTTTAGATCGGAGACGCTTGAAGAAACCCATCTCTCACAAGGTTGCTTGATGACTGCTGGGACCGAGACCTTTTAGAAAGTGAGGAGGACTTAGAGGGGTATGTGTGGATGAATGAAGCTCTTTTCGAGAGCGAGATCTGGCAGCACATGGGCGGAGAATTTAGTCAAACAAGGTAAGGGATGTTTGAGAGCTGAAGTAACATCCGAGAAATTTCTAAACAAATGAATGGGCGAAACCTTTATTCACATGGAGAGACGGCTAGCAAGTGACGGCGGCTAGGACTGTGTTCTGTTTCATCGTCGCTGATCCCTTGTGTGCCGCCGTGGGCTCTTCACCACCCACCGGCCCTTGATAAACCCACTCATGGTCCCGGTGAGTGGGACAGAAGGGCTTTTCTGAGTGAAAGACAGCCCAATTGCAAATCAGAAACTCGGAAAGCTCTTTTCAGACTTCCGGACAGACAAATATGGCCAATCATTAAGACGAATAGCTTGTTGGCAAGCACGAAGACTCCCTGTCGGGCGATATTGAAGCATCACCAGCACAAACCCTCCTCCAAGTTTGCGGGATAGAGACAGGAGGATAGCACCCCAATTTCTTGCCACTGTGATTAATAACAGACAGCAGGCAAAGAACTAACCTTTACCAAAGGCTAACTACGTATAATTCTTTCATTTATTATACACACTCTGGAGCCATGGATGATTTTCAATCTCTCTTCACAGCATCTTTCTCTTGCCAATAGCCACACTTTACTGAAAGGCAGCCTGCCTAGAACCCTTTATCAGGCACGTACATACGCCTCTGCTTGACCCAACCCGAGAGACTGGAAAGGTCGGGACAGAAAAGTTTAATTTGTGAGAAATTATTTGAGATTCGACAAACGACGTCCACTTGGGATTGCATGGGACTGCGAGGCAATCCAAACCAGGGTGAGTGTGGCTGGTGGTGCATGGACTTGGTGCAGGAGAACGGCCGGAGAAGGGGAAAAGAATCAAGGCAACGCAATTGCATACAAAAATTCGTAATCTGGCAAAGTGCCGCCAAAAGATGGAGGCGGACAGGCCAGCTGACTAGAAGCGTTGGTTTGACCGCCATGGCTTATACAAGTTGTTACTGGCTTGCGGGCTCCGCTATGTGAATAGAGAGTAAAAATATAAAGAACTACTGACCGGGCTGACCTGTAATGCTGAGTGAAGGACAGAAGAAGTACGGAGAATAAGATGGGGGGACCGGCGGAGGAGAATTGCTTCTCTGGATAGAGGTCTACCCGCTTGAAAACTCCCATAGCCCACCTATATAGGCGGGCACCGTATCTTCTACTTTAAAAGGAATATCTGAATAGCGACCAGTTGTGGACTTGACGTGATATAGGATTATCTACTCCGTACTCCAAACATGGATGGGGAGAGTAACTTTTAGAATGAGATCATCGTAGAGCAATGCAGAGCTCCTCTCGCAAATGCATTAAGTAGCAGACGTATGATGCCTCATACAGAGGCCAACACTGATCCACAAGTCTGCTTTTGTCTGGTCGACTTAGGAGGTCCGTTATGCACTCTTTCCAGCAGATGGTAGGAAAGACGGCACCACAGCTTGCCAAAGAAAGTTAAGGCAGAAAGGCATTTCATTTCCATAAACAGGCTCTCCGAGTGTCTGCATGAACTAGGCAGAGAAATAAATTATTTCTGGGAAAGAAAAAAAAAAAAAAGAAGAAAAAAAGACGCCGACTCAAAGAAAGTCGTTCAGATGCTTGTAAAAAGACTACCAGGATTGCTTATTTCGTGATATGACTGATTGCTGACACCTGCTATTTATACCTAAAACTGCAGGGAGTCAAAAGGCCTATACGGAGTGCCCAAGCACCAGATCGAAATGCTAAGCCATGGTGGATGGAAGACACGCGTTGCTTGCTCAGGTTACACCTAGGACGATGCAAAAAGTGCCCATAATCACCCAGCATGGGAAGTCTGTTCGATATTTATACCTATTTCTCATCTTGCAAAAACACTCTCAGCAATTTAAGCATGCGGAGAAGTCCTAGGGCCCTTGGTCTTTGCGGTTAGATCTGGACGAGAGCTGGAGTGGCCTTGAAACGCGTTGCAGGGATCCAAGCTTTGCTGAGAAGAAAGAAATTGGTCGCTCTTGGGCCGTCGTGATCCGTCACCCTGGCATTATCATCCCACGGATTGGTTCCAGAGCTGACGAATGCCAGTGCATTGAAGTAACATTTAGATTTTGGAGCCCGAAGTGTTCACCAGTAACACTGCAGCCCGAGCCGAAACTTTTGTAGTGAGACTCGTATGCGAAAGAGGACATGGCATAAATCGTCGATTCTGGATGTTGGGATTCTGCATGGACTGTCTATTGCCGATGTTCCCTTTCTGCGAAGTCCGTAGCGCCTGAGGATCGTTTGTCCCGTATCTCATGCTAACTCAACAGAGTGAGGCACAATGGAATTATCGGAGCTGGGTACTTGCATTATATTCGGGAAACTCAATTCCCGTTCGTGCTCCGAATTTGTTATGAATGCTCGTTTCGAACTGCTATCGTCTTGTCTTTGAAGATGTATTATTAGTGGATAGGCGGAGCCCAAGGGGCTTTGGTACAATGTCTGTCGAATTGAATAGTCAATTGCAAGGGTCAAGCAACCATTGCCCGAGTGCACCATCGAGGGGTTGTCACCCGCTGTTCCCGCTGTCTGAGAAGTATTGACAGAAGTAGGAAATCAAGGAAGCGGGGACAGCCGGACTCAATGATCAATAGAGCAGCAAGAGATTGTTCCGTACTCTGTAGGAGTTTGGCGCTGGCCTCAGATTCTGCCTGTACGTACATACCTGACCTCAGGCCAGAATGGTCACTCCGTACCAAGGGGGCGGCGGAAGTTGATGGTTAAATATGTGGTGCTCTGTGATCTGAGTGTAAGAGAGCTGGAGTGGACTTAATGAGCTCTCCCCTCCCGCCAACGGCGTTTTCCGTTCACCTTTGACGGGCTTTGGAGGAGCGAGGGTGAATGGCCAACCCCTTTTCGCAAGTCTGCGGTGGAATCTGGTGATGCGATGCTCTCGAGATTCCGGGAAGGATAGGTTACATACAGTGAAAATACACGTACGGACAGCCAGTCGGGGATATAGAAAACAACGACACTCGCGTTAAAGCCGCTGCTGTAGGTGTCCAAGGGAGCACCGATGTGAGCTGGCAGAGCGCCAGAAATACAAAATCGACCATTTCCAACGGCTTGTTCACTGGCCAGACTGGCCGAGGGTCGAAGCGGGTGGCCCTGGTGGTCCGGAGGCGGGTTTGGTAACGGGCTGGTTACGGCGTAAGGATGGAAATACGCCTGCGATCGATCCCTCGAAAAGAAAAAAAAAAGCCTCCACTTGTTCCCTTTTCTTCAACGTCCAAAGTCACCACCACCCGACGTCTTCGAACGCTTCTCCCTTTTCTCCCCTCCCCTTGTTGTAATCTTCTTCTCTCTATCTGCCTCATTCGCACTCACGCTCTCGCTTTGTTGTTTCTCTGGCTTTCTTTTTTTCTCTTCTCCTTTGCTTTTGCTGCTCTTGTTACGTTTCTCCCTTCTTTAGGTGACAGAGTCTTGTACCTCCAATCGGGCCTCTTCTGCTTTCTTATTCTCGGCTTGCTGGCCGTATCAATCCCCAATTGTTCACCCCCTTCCGGACCCTCCCTGGTCGAGTCTTGCAGTCCTCCAGTTTAATTGTGAGCCATGGCATCCGCAATTCAGTCCCCAACTCCAAAGCTGGACCGATACATTGTGATCCATGTTTCCACCACCTGTGATGAGCATGGCGTCTATGTCACCAAGGATTCGGCAGAAGTTATCGAGCTGGGATGGATCTTACTGGACACAAAGTCTTGTGAGGAGGTGGGTTTTCGGATCTTTTGGGTCTCCCATGGCACATTGGAGAGCTGTCGGGTTGCTGACCGATTGTGGGAAATGGTAGCTCCACCGAGAGAGTGTTCTCGTCAAGCCAATCAACACTCCCATTACACCACTCTGCAGTATGTCTCCGGAGCCCTTCCAGCATTCCCCTAGCACTGTCCAAGGAAGAAATTGCTAAAACTCTGGTTATTAGCGAGCCTGACCACCCTTACATGGGAGCATGTTCGCTCTGCAGGCACCTTCCGGGATGCGATCAACCGTTTTGATGCCTTCGCACAGGAACACCTCCTGTCCAAGAACCTCGAGTTCGCCTTTGTAACATTGGACTCATGGGATATGCGTGTTCAGCTCCCTCGCGAGGCCCGGGATAAAGCCGTTGTCCTTCCTCCTTACCTTCAGCATTCCCGGACTTTTGACTTGCGGACGGAATATCAACGCTGGCAGCAGCATCATCCGGAATCCCTTCCGTTCGGCCCTAGTGACCTTTCCAATATCTGTGCTGCTTTGGAGGTGGAGCCCGTTCAATCTTCTGCTCCCATTAAGCACAACCTCCCGTTCCACCTTCAAGCATTGGCCCCTGCATCACCACGTCGTGCAATGGAGGAGGTTATTACCTTGGCTCGAGTTCTCCGTGGCCTGATCCGCAAATCGCAGCCACCTCACGAGCACCCCGAGATTCTGACCCGTCCAATGGATGCTAGAGCTGACGTCCGTGCCTTTTTGGCGGAGCGTAGCAAGGTTTTACACATGAGTGGACTGCCTCATGACACTACTCAGTCGGAATTAGAGAGCTGGTTCACCCAATTTGGTGGACGTCCGATTGCGTTTTGGACCCTCCGAACCCCAGATCAGCACAAGCCAACAGGTACTGGCTTCGCTGTGTTTTCATCTCACGAAGAGGTATGCAGTGGTCCGGCCCTAATCTCTTTCTTTGGTGCTCTTTCATTTTGTTACAATTTCATATCCTAATTTTATTCCTTATAGGCCGCTGAAAGTCTTTGCATGAATGGACGGGCGTTGAATGAGAGGGCGATTGAGGTTTCACCTTCATCAAGTAGGGTCCTTGATCGGGCTGCCGAAATCCTTACGCCTTTCCCGCCAAGCAAGAACCGTCCTCGTCCCGGAGACTGGACTTGTCCATCGTGTGGATTTTCCAACTTTCAGCGTCGCACGGCTTGCTTCCGCTGCTCGTATCCTGCCATTGGTCCTGGCCCTGATCCAATGGGATATGCCTATGGATATGGTCCGCCAAGTATGCTTCCTCCACCCCACCATATGGGTCACCATGGTGGCCATGGTATGGGACATGGTAGAGGCATGGGAGGTAATGGAGGAGTGGTCCCGTTCCGTGCTGGTGATTGGAAATGCGGTGCCGAAGGTTGCGGCTACCACAACTTTGCTAAAAACATCAACTGTCTCCGATGTGGTGGCCCTCGCTCCGGTGCAGCAGTCGTGGCAGATTCTGCTTTCCCCTCTCCAATGGACCCGTCTTCCAACTTTGGTATGGGACCTGGATCCATTAGCAGCGCCCCTGGAGCCGCTCCGTTCCCGTCTACTGGAGCGGGCTTCGGTGGATTTGGTCAACAGTTTGCCGCTCCTCCAACTACGTACGGGTTGCCAGCAGGGCTTGGAGCTGCACCCGGACCCTATCCTCCAATGGGTCAAATGAACACCGGATATGGATCTGGCGGAGCCTCTCATTCTGCCGCCTCTTTCGGCAATCCTGCTACCCAAGCTGCTTTTACAGGGGCCGACCAAGTGCAGCAGCCCGTTGGGACCTCCAACGGTGGCTTTTATAATAACGACTCCTCTGCCGACCCTTTTGCCTTCCTCTCCACTGGTCTCGGCGGACTGACAGTCGCAGACGAAACACACGGACGCAGGAATGGCACCGCCAACAGCAAGTCCCCGGCGTAATTCGCTACTAAAAACTTTCATCAAACGAGTATCTTGGCCAGACGATATATTGGCTGATAGCAAACGTCTTGCATTCCTTCCTGCAACTCGTTTCCATTAATGAACGATATGGACGACAGCCTGAAGTGTCTCAGGCCGAGGCGGCGATGCTGTTGCTTGAGAAGCCAAACCGCCAATAAATATAAGCCAATCTTTAGGGACTCCTGCACGTGTTGCCCCGGCACAACCCTTTTCTCTTTTTCTCAGTTGCTACTTGTGTATTTTTCTTCTTCTGTTAACC